AGGAGATGACTTGAGTGTAAATGTTATACACTGACATTTGCTCGGGTTGAGTTTTAGCTTCCAGGTTTTAGCCCAGCCACATAGTCGGTCTATATCCCTCTGTAGGACGGCAACATCTTCAGTAGATTCTACGCGGTGGAAGAGCTTTACATCATCGGCATATAACAGACAATCAGTTTCGATGCACTTTGGGATGTCAGCAACATAACACAAAAACATCAGGGGGCCCAAAATGCTGCCCTCCGGCACGCCCGACCGCACAGCGGTCCACATGGAGTGCTTGCCATTCAGGACGACACGCTGCATGCGATCACTAAGGTAGGACGTCAGCCAGGTGTGAGCGAGGCCAGTGATTTGAAAAGAATAGCGGAGTTTGTGAAGGAGCAAGGTGTGGTTGACAGACGTGAATGCAGACGAAAAGTCTGTGTAGATGGCGTCGGTTTGTTTGCCTTTGGAAATGGAGGACCAGCAGTGGTTAAGGAAGCAGGAGAGGTTGGTGACGCATGAGCGGCCAGGCAGGAAACCGTGCTGATTGGGAGGAATGACTGGCAAACACGCTGGCAGAAGGTTCTCAAATACAACTCTTTCCAGAATTTTTGAGCAGATAGGCAGCAATGACACCGGCCGATAATTTTCTGGATTTTTCTTAGAGCCCTTCTTGTGAACACTCACAACGTTAGCCCTCCTCCAGTACAACGGAAACGACCCTCGCGACACAGACATTTCGCACAATATTTCAATGGGAACAGCCAGCTCATCAGCACATTCTCGCAGAATGCGCGCACTGAGACCGTCCGGGCCGCAGGCCTTGTGCGGACTCAGCTCTCTCAGTAGCTGCGCGACCCGGCCGTGCGGCACCGCAAACCGGTCAATGCCAGGGGCACTGAGCTCGGGCGCTGCCGGCAACGCCTCTACCGCCGGGTCGCTAAACTTAAGGGCAAAGCACGCATTCAAGCAGTTGGCACGCTCAACATCGCTGCGGAGAGCGCGGCCACCGAATTCCAGGACGGGTGAAACGTGCGTGGATGATTTAATGGCTTTGATAAAAGACCAGTAACGTTTCGGATTGTCTTTAAAATCACGAACGAGACTTAAAAGATAATCGCGGTACTTGCTAGCTGCTTGACGTTTGAACGCGGCCCTGACAGTGGAAAAACGTCCTAAATTTTCAGCAGACGGATCGGCCTTTTTACGACGGTGGGCTGCTTCCTTCTCTCGGAGAAGGTTCCTGACCGATTTATCGAACCAAGGTGGGTACTTTGTCTTAAGTTCCACCATCGGAACATGATCAGTGATGGCTGCTAATACAAGGTCATAGAACAGCGACACAGCGCCATCTAGGTCACAGTCACGCAAACAATGCCACGGCAGGAGACGTAAGGCATTGCGGAGTCCAGCAAAGTCCGCCCGTTTATAGTTGTACACAGTGGTTCTGGAAACACGCGGAGTACGGCCACAGTTTACAGAGAACAAAGTTGTGACCATACGATGGTCCGAGTCGAAGACACCGTCAGTCGGCTCTGAAGTCGCTACCGCGCCGTGTGTGAGTGCCAAGTCCAGAATATTACCACCGCGCGTAGGAGAAGTCACAGACTGGTGCACGTCGCACTCAGCAAGTGCGTCAAGAAACACAGTAGCACGGGTAGTGCGCCGCAGCAGCACAGGATCCTGCGTGCTGGACCACTGTATCTCAGGTAAGTTGAAGTCACCGACAATCACATACGGGGCAGCTATAGCACTCAGCTGGCGGAGCAGACCGACCAGTCTGTCGATGTCAGCGTCCTGGTCGGGCGGCCGGTAGACGACCACCAGGAAGACGTGCCGGACGGCTCCGAGCTGGACCACCAGCGCCTCGCAGTCAGGCTGTAGGTCCGGTCGGTGGACAGGCGACAGGTTGGAGCGCACGGCGCAGGCCACGCCCCCGCCCCTGCCGTCCCGGTCCCGCCGGAACCAAACGTAGTCGCTGAAGCCCAGCTGGAGTTCGGAGTCCGCTACTTGTGGTCCAAGCCACGTCTCGGTCAGGCCAATGACGTCGCAGGTAGCCAGCTCGATGGCGTGTGAGCGCAGAGTGCCGAAATCATCATCATCGTTCTACATTTCCCAAAATCTTGAACTGAATGTTGGCAATTTCTCGTGACTAGGGGAGAGTGGGGCACATTCGTGCAAAAAATGGATAAATCCATATATCTGTTCTTTGGTTAGTGCAACGGCAAAATTGTTGATTGTGGTATGGAAAGGAACTATTGCAGATATTTTTCCTCTTTAAAAGTTATCCTCTACCAAGTTCGCGTGAATTACTCGTCACGATGTCGCAAGCAGCCGAGACTGAGTCAGGCGAGCGACATTAGTGAAACCTACTATAGATAAAGTCATAAATAGCAAAAACTAAAAAAAAATATGCACGAATGTGCCCCCAGGCAGTGCGTACACGAACCTGCCCCACAACGTTATTTGTAATATATTTCAAAATTTCTTGTTGAAAAAATGACACTTTGTCAACAAACAAGTTTGCAGCAGTTCCGTGAATAGAGTGAGCACCTTCGCCCCCAATTTTGAAAAGCTGAACCACATTTCCGAGTCAGGATCACGAAAATGGATGATATGAGAAAAGTTTGGAAAGCTCACGAATATTACAAATTTGCGTTTTTATCAAGCATGACAGCAGGTACAGTGTTGTCTTCTACGGTGAACGAAGGGCGGCAATGATAGACACATTTCCATAATTTACCTTGAGCTCGTGCAGTCACTCGTGTTCCCATAAACTGCTGAAAACGAATGTGCCCCATGCACGAATGTGCCCCACTCTCCCCTACTTCACGACCATGCTGCATGCATTTCTGAAATTGATCTTTTTTTCAACCAACCACGTACTCGTATGATAAAATGAATGTCACCATCGTGTTCTACGCCCAAAAGTACCCATAAACATGTGTCATGGACTGCGAATAGGTACCAGTTTTAATTTTCGGGGTTATGTGCTTACCTGATTGACCTGACTTTGACCCTGGCCTATGTTTGACTGACTCCTACATACATGGATTGACACTCTTTTAGCACTTAAATGAAGGGCTGTGACAGTTGTGACAGAGTTTATGACGAGAGGCACCGATTGCGAGGTTCTAAAGTCCATGCTACTGAAAGCCCGATTTCAAGTGTTTGACCTGACCTTGACCCAAACTGTGATCTCGAAATTCAACTTTTAAATATTCATGTGAATCGTCTCGTCGCGTTCTTCTTTCGTTTGCCGCCTCGTGCGTTTCGCAGCGCCTATTTGTTCGCGAGATATCGGCTGGGGGCGTTGAACGCCCCCCCCCCACGGCAAACGGCGGGTGGGGAGATACCCCAGCAACTGCCGGGTTAATCTGACGCATTTTTTTTTGTCATTTGATCGTCATTTTATTTTTTACTTTGTTGCTCAATTTAAAAAAAATCATTAATACTTTTTCTCCAAATTTTTTACCCTTTATGACCAAAAGTAAGACACTGTGCGTCACTACGTTGATATTTCTCGCCCTAAAGCATAACAACAATATCCATTCAGTAATAGCAGTATTCAAAACATGTTCGAAATGCCTCGCTATATCGATAACATTACGAAAGACATAGGCGACTTATAACATACTTGCAATGATGACGTCACACACGCGTGACGTGACGTGACCTCGTCATTTCTGAGTTACTGTATGATGCACGAAAGACACTGGTTTACATATGCAAAGTTTCATCGCAGTCGGTCTACGCATTAACAAGTTATGGGCAAAACATTTTTTCGCGTTGACCCCCGGCCATCCGTGAGGCCGTTTCCAACCATAGTGCGCCGCTCTGGCAGGCTGTTTGACTTCATATCTCTGTTGCTAGAAAAGTTGTGGACCGATTTACATGATTCTTGCATGAAAAGATCCGCCATTCAATTCTTAGCAGATAACGAAAATTTGACGTCAATTGCACGATCCGCTGCCCATATTGTGGTACTGCCATCTATTGACAAGGCTGGCGAGCTAAAGCCGGGCGGCTATTTCCACTTTTGACACACCATGACAGGTAGGCACCCACCAGGCAATGCATTCTCATGTGTTGCGATTAGGGTGCTACTGCACGTGCGCACGTGCATGGGGCGTTTCCAGATCTCGAGAACGGCTGGGCCGATTGCGCTCAAATTTGGTACACGGTTGGGGACCAGTTAGTAGGGTGCCGTGCAAAAGTCATTTTGGACCCCGTTTGCACGTGCGCACGTGCAGAATGTCGCTTCCAGATCTCAGGAACGGCTGGGCCGATTGCGTTCAAATTTGGCACACCGCTAGCGACCAGTTACAAGAGTGCTTTGCGCAAGCCCGTTGGAAGCACCCTCTCGCCCTTCCGCACGTGCAGGGCTCACTATCTCTCTCGCTCGTTCTTCGCCCAAAAGGCGTTTTACTGGTAATATGAAATCGTCTTCTTTATATCCCTATTTAATCAGCCTGTGCAGGCAATGTTCGGTGTACATACACCAATAGCCCTAAATTGGACAGTTTCTGGATGAAAATGACAGCTTTGCTCAGCCATTAATAATACCGATGTCAGTTGTTTAAAAGTGCATGTCTCAACAGAAGTTCGCGAGATGACTCGGTGGCAAGCAACCATAGTTCATTACTGAACATGAGTCAATTAATAAGGCAGCTGATCAATCACTCGCTGCCTTTCTAGGTGTCGTTCAATCAATCACTCACTGGCATCTTCCTTCCAGTAAATTTATCCATCTCACTGTGCACAATGGTTTTCCTTTCGTGAACTGAAAAATTACTATTGTATCTAGGACTCACATGCAGTTGGTTAGTTTCTCCCCACTGAGAGTCGGCTTGTCTGCATAAATGCAGTCGTTGCTAAGCCAAACTGACAAGGGGTGGAATATATCGGCCTGTTGGAGCTGGAAGAGCTTATATAGAGCCGCTGAGATCACCGCGTATCGAGCAGCGGTGCAGGCTGTGGCAAAGTTCGCCGCCGTCCGAGAGGCCGTTACTCACCGTTCGTTGCGGAGCTCCGAGTTGCGCTTGCGGTACGTTTCCACGAGCAGCTGCAGTTTTTCGGCATGCTGCTCGTTAATTTGCGAAAGTTGCTGAGAGAAATCAGACACTGGAAACACAAAAGAGCGAGACTGTCATTACAAATGGGCATTAGCCTCAGGGAGGGGAGAGGTGACTGGATGTCGATACGTTTTTACGGCCTTGCTAGATTTTATTATATGGTTCTATGTACATGTAGTTTAAACGCACATTCTCATTCATTCTAAAAAAATGCGATAAACAAACCTACCCAAACTCGGCTAAAATACCGAGTTCCGTGTAAGACTCAAGCTTCCCTTACGGTGACTTGAAACTTCTCGTCGCTTTGTGAATCCAACATGAGATGGATTTTTTACCAAAATTTATAAATTTATAACCGATGCGATTGAGGGCAATGAAAATTGAAGGTAAGCAAATAAAGATGAGGATAAATGGTGTGGAGAAAGAAAGAGAGAGAGAAAGAGAGAGGGAGAGAGAGAGAGAGAGAGAGAGACAGAGAGAGAGAGAAGAGAGAGAGAGAGAGAGAGAGAGAGAGAGAGAGAGAGAGAGAGAGAGAGAGAGAGAGAGAGAGAGAGAGAGAGAAAAGAAAAAAAGAGAGGCCAGGCGTCCAATACCATTTCACGGATGAGCAGTTGATGAAGTTGATGTACGGTGTATTGAGCCATATGGCAAACGGAGAGTGGAACCTGATGAGTGATTACCACGAACTCAAGCCGTCATTATAGATAAAGGCCAACTGCCTATTGAAGATCGATCGAGATCTCATTAATGACGAGCGACACTGTTAACCGGACTCAGGCGTAGCTGGCTTGGCTGTCCTATTAATTCGATCGATTACTCTTGATTGTGCGATCAATTATTTTTATAAGTTTGAAATGGTAGGTAAATTTGCACTGATCGTGCTTCTAATCGCATGAAGTACAAACTCATTTAGCCAATGTGAAGCAATTTGTGGGCTGGCACGGGTTACACGGGAAAACAATTATTACTTAACCCTAGAACGCCTAGGGGGGGGGGGGTTGTATCAACCCCCCCCTGAGGTTTTTTCGAAGTGCACGCTAAACGGCTTGTCGTAGCGGGCTGAAATTTTCAATACCCTCTGGGGCAACCTTTGCACATCTTTTGCCGAAAAAAAAGTGATCGGGTCATGTCAGGTCACGGAGTTATGACGTCATAAGAGGTACAGCCTCCGGCCGACAGTTACCAAACGTGTGCGCCGAATCCCTAGGTTTTCTGCCGGTGATACCCACATTGTTTGATGGATCATGATGAAACTTCCCATGCATGTTGGGGCAAGCATTGGCTATCGTGTGGTGCAAGAAAATTGACCGGGTCAGGTCAGGTCACGGAGCTATGACGTCACAAGAGGAACAGCGTCCGGTACTATTTTTGAAAAGCGCCCGAACCACTATTTTGCTAATTCTTGTCACCTCAATGGGAATATGCAGCAATATTAGCTTCTATAGGGAGCAAATGGACCTCCCAAATCCAAAAATACAATCAGATTTCAAAAATTTAAATTTTGATTTTTCGAATTTCTGCCGCCGACTGTGACCTTGCTGACTTCCGGCGCTCCCAACGCGCCATTTTTAGAGCTAGGGAAACGAAATACATACCAAACGATAGAGAATTGATCAAGGAACACGATAGTGAAGGTTTCAAGTCGATATCTCCCACCGTTTTGCCGCAATCGCCGCAAAAAGTTGAAAAGTTTGATTTTTCGGAAAATTTGACCTTTGACCGGTCATAAGTAGGTCAAATGTTGACCTAGGACCAAAAAATATACCACCAATCGCGAGATCTCGTTGAGAGCAATCCGTTGGTTTTTTCCGCTAAGCTCTACGACCTTCCGTTTCGAAACGCCAGGGGGGGGGGGGTCGTAACAACCCCCCCCCCCCTGGTCGTTCGTGTTATGAGAAATGGCCTGGTCGTGCGAGGGATAACAGTCTGAGAGCCAAAGCATCAGAAACGCATTAGTACACCGCCGCTAGAAAATAAAAATTTGCCACAACTGAGGGAACTGCGGACGAGTGTAATACCGGAGACGCTAATCCCAGTGGATTCCTGGTGGACTAACAGATGGTGCTGAGGAGCTCAGCTCAGGTGGAAATCTGGGCCAGATATCGGCCCAAATGCAAAGGTCGTTTTATTCACGGCGTTTGAATAAATCCGATATCTATCTATATTATAAATCCTAAAAAGTACCCCGCCGCCGTGTGCGACGTAGTCACTTTGTAGCGCTTATTGCGGCGGCGTCCGTTGACCTACGGCCGTGAAATTTTACAGCGATGTGGGCCACCTTTACACGTAGGTCGTATTAAATTTTGGGCATGATGCGGCCGGGGGTGCGCCCGCGGCGCGTGCTCGCGCGCCCATAGGGTTAACATTAGAATTGGCAAAAACACGCTATTGCTCGGGAACGGTAAGGGCTACGGGGGTGAAATTTTCACGGAAAGTCGGATGCGTGCACCCATTTGTCGTATCAACTTTTCGAGGGTGCGGGTTCAGCGGTGTGCACGTGGTGGGGCCGCGACCGGCGCCGAGCAGAGGGCACGTGCTTTAGGCTCAGTTGTTCGCTTAGAAAACTGAGTGAAAAGCATTAGAGCCGGCAGGCAGGTCATTGACCTTTGACAACGAAGGCCAACACAAGGCACCGCTCGCCAAGGGGATTCGCCAGTAAATACTATTAATTTGTTTTTGCAATATCTCAGCCGTTTCTGGGCCGATTTAGCTGAAACTTGGACTGTCGGTGGTAGTGTAGTGTAGGGTAGGGTAGGGTAGGGTAGGATAGGGTAGGGTAGTGTAGTGTAGTGTAGTGTAGTGTAGTGTAGGAGTAGGGTAGTGTAGGAGAAGGGGTAGTGTAGGAGTAGGAGTAGTGTAGGAGTAGGGGTAGTGTAGGAGTAGGGGTAGTGTAGGAGTAGGGGTAGTGTAGGAGTAGGGGTAGTGTAGGAGTAGGGTAGAGTAGGGGTAGGGTAGAGTAGGAGTAGGGTAGAGTAGGGTAGGCGGGCAGGCGTGCGTTGCGGGCGTTTTTTGCGGCGGTATTTGCGTTTTTTGCGGTGTTTGTGTTTGGCAGCGGGCGGGCGGGCGTTGCGGGTGTTTTTGCGGTGTCTGCGTTTGGCGGTGGACGGCCGTTTTTTGCGGCGGTTTGCGGCGGGCGGCCGTTTTTTGCGGTTTGCGGCGGGCGGCCGTTTTTTTTTGCGGCGTTTTGCGGTTGCCGGCGGCCGGCCGTTATTTGCGGTGTTGCGGTTTGCGGCGGGCGGCCGTTTTTTTGCGGCGTTTCGCGGTTGGCGGCGGGCGATGCGGGCTTTTTTTGCGGCGGCGGTGTTTGCGTTTTTTGCGGTGTTTGCGTTTTGCGGCGGACGGGCGTTTTTTTGCGGCTTTTTTGCGTTTTTCTGCGGTTTTCGACGGGCGGGCGATTGTTTCTTTTTTGCGAAGTTTGCGTTGGCGTTTTGCGGTGTTTGCGTTTTGCGGCGGGCGGGCGGTTTTTCACAATTCAAGTCCCAACCTTCGGATCCGCAGTGCTGTTCGACAAGCGCTGCCCGGGCCCGCCTTACAGTTTAATTAAAAACAGCTACCCAAATCTACCCCAATAATACAGATAAAAATACAAGTCAATCACCCAAACTAATGCACCCGTAACATAACATCAATCAAAACATACAGTTATCGCGTAAACCTGTACCTCTAGTCTATATTATAAATCCTAAAAAGTTCCCCGCCGCCGTGTGCGACGTAGTCACTTTGTAGCGCTTATTGCGGCGGCGTCCGTTGACCTACGGCCGTGAAATTTTACAGCGATGTGGGCCACCTTTACACGTAGGTCGTATTAAATTTTGGGCATGATGCGGCCGGGGGTGCGCCCGCGGCGCGTGCTCGCGCGCCCATAGGGTTAACATTGGAATTGGCAAAAACACGCTATTGCTCGGGAACGGTAAGGGCTACGGGGGTGAAATTTTCACTGCAAGTAGGATGCGTGCACCCATTAGTCGTATTAAATTTTCGAGGGGGTGGGTTCAGCGGTGTGCACGTGGTGGGGCCGCGACCGGCGCCGAGCAGAGGGCACGTGCTTTAGGCTCAGTTGTTCGCTTAAAAACTGACTGGAAATAATCAGAGCCGGGAGGTCGTTGACCTTTGACAACGATTACGAATACCGGCGCCGGGCACCGCTCGCCAAGGGGATTCGCCAGTAAATACTAGATGCCGGCAGCGCTCGTGCGTTGCCTTGGGCCAGAATTGGAGGATCCATAGCCCAATGAAATGTGCATTATTTTGGAGGCCTTGCCTGGGACTACCATTGAACCGATTTTGAGGTTGATAGCTTAAAATTTCTTTGAGCCAGAGGACCTCACGTCAAAACGGTTTTCCGACCCCAGCACGTGCAGCCTGCACCCCTCGCAGACGGTGACCCCCCTGGAAACTGGTTCAAGGTGTTACCGATGTGTCCCGCCAGTATGGCTTTGCCCGTGACCTCGGGTTGACCTGTAGCCTTGACAAAAAATTTCGTGTCACCGAAACTTTGAAGCGGAATAGCATGTGCCACGAAGCACCGAGCGAACCGAGGCCAGCACCAAAAGTTTACCTCGCCGGAGACGAATCAAACGGTCCCACTTTCGTCCCGATCGGTCCACCCATTTTGACTCCAGGTCCAAAAAAGCTTGGACAAACTCACTCACATACTCACTGACAAACAGGTTCAGCCGAACTTTTTTTCAGCGACCCACCAAGGTTAGGGTAGGGTAGGGTAGGGTAGGGTAGGGTAGGGTAGGGAAGGGTAGGGTAGGGTAGGGTAGGGTAGGGTAGGGTAGGGTAGGGTAGGGTAGGGTAGGGTAGGGTAGGGTAGTGTAGGGTAGGGTAGGGTAGGGGTGGGGTAGGAGTAGGGTAAGGGTAGGGTAGGATGGGGTAGGGTAGGGTAGGGTAGGGTAGGGTAGGGTAGGGTAGGGGTAGGGTAGGGTAGGGTAGGGTAGGGTAGGGGTGGGGTAGGGTAGGGGTAGGGTAGGGTAGGGTAGTGTAGGGGTAGGGTAGGGTATGGGTAGGGTAGGGTAGGGTTAGGTTAGGGTTGTGTAGGGGTAG